ACATTCCTAATGAATTTTATAGGATAGTTACCCAACACCGACGCCTCTTCTATCTGTTTCATTTCATCATATAGGCTTTTTGTTGTACCACTTAGTGCTATTGCTCAGTTTGTTAGACACTTAACTAACCCTACCTTTATAGACAACGAACGGATGAGATGAATTAAAGTCTAAATAGCTATTTGAATGTGTTGGTCTTTATAAACGCCAGTGTGCAGTCTACCTTGTTCCGTTCGTTTTATTTTACAATGTAACATAGCTAATTCTCCTTGTTCATTTTCTGATTGAAGTGTGAATTTTATTCAATTTACTAGCGAATTTATGTGTGAAGAAGCCAGAGATGTGTTCTGTTTTTAACACTGTGAAAGTGTCATCCACTTATCTCCACGATAATTTTGGAGTAGGATTAGATGTATTAGGAGCTATATTTCCCCAGCTATCCATAAAGATACCTGCTACAATATTGGTGTTCCCGTTGCTACACCTTCTGTTTGTCTATATATTTTGCCCCGGAATTTAAAGACAGTAGATGTGAGGCATAACTGAATTCCTAAAATAATTTTCTCGATGGACAGCTTTGTCCTATGAATAAGTTTGGGATCAGCAGTTAGTTATCTTTTAACAGCTTCTAACGCCATAGTGATTTGTATATTAGTGTAAAGACTAGTTATATCAAAACTAACCAGTTTCATTGTTTTCTATTTGAATGTTATTTAGTTTCTTTGTCATCTCATATGAATTAGTTAGTCTAGAGTTTGAACGATTTCTAATGGGGCATAATATTAGACGTAAGTGTTTTCATAAGTAGGAATATTTCTGAAATCTACTATTGTTCGTATGGATAACCTGGCTTATGTATTCTTATAATACCATATATTCTACTAGCATTGTTAGTTTTAGGCATTAAATTAAACCATTTACACTCACCTAGTGATGGCTTCATTCTACGTATTAAATCCGCTGTAGATCTCTTAATCTCATTCATTATTGTATCTACAGACTTCTTAATTTCCTTATATGGACCCGTTTCAATGTGTTCAGTGACTTTCTCGATATAGTCAGATTTATCCATAGGTGCCGTCGAGTTTCCCTTATCAGCTATTCATCGCTAGTCTTTGCGTTTTCGTTAAGTTTAATTTTTTTTTGGCTTTTTCAAGGTTACTGCACATTGTGCTAGACCCATTTCTGCTGCCGTCTTTTCTGTTGAACTCAATGCCACTTCTGTGTTAAGAATGACATTTATTAGCTGGTTGTAAACCCGAATTAGAAGGAAGTAACTCGACTCCATTAAAAGAACCACACCACTACTACTGAAAATTCAAGCTTCAAACCCCAAGTTCCATTCTGAATGCAAAAGAATGATAAAAATAAGATGAGAAACGATTCTATTTCGGAATGAATCAGACCGATTATTTTTTACAAGTGCTAGAAGAGTGAGGAGAAGCATGGTTGTGATACAAACGCTAAGAGGCCACTGCATCAACACTACACATTTACAAGTCTGGGAAATGATCTACAACGTTATATAATCAAGAATATTGTGTATGATGAATAAAAATCTCTAAAGAATCGATAACAGTAGGTCGGAAATTACCACTAAGAAAATGCTGGAATAAAATATCATAATTAGTTATAGTCATCATAGTGCGTTTTGAGACAGTTGAGTACACTAAAAATCGATAAAAAGTAGATATTTTGAATATTTCTTGACTTAATTTTTTACTTTAAGATATTTTGGTTTGCGAAAGAATGCAGACAACAACAGATTTTATTTAAAGAAGAATTTGCAAGAGTTGATTTGTCTTTTGAGTTTGACCACGGATCGATGTCAGTTACAGAACCATTGAAAACCAGCACTGGAGTACTGGACAGATGTTTCATCCTAGTTTGGGATTCGTCGGCAGTACGCGTCAACCGGGGCTCGAACCCAGGACCTTCCGATTACAAGGCAAGCTCGTATACCATTCAACCACTGGGACCCGACTCAATGGCCCATGAATTCTAACTTCTACCAATTCGTGATTTTAGCGCGACCACCAGCCAATGTCATCGGCGGGATATCTATCCGCACTCCCGACTGCATGGACCTTACTGGTCACTGATATCAATCCGTGGTCAAACTCGAAAAATTTGAATTCACTAACTTTATTCTATATTAATTTAAACACTATATACATTGAACTGTACTATCATATTCAGAAGTTTCAATGCTTTCTGAATAAACCATCCGACATTAACCAAGAATGACTCCACTATAATTTGTATGCAATGTATAGCATACTGATATCCGTAGTTTACAAATATTAAAATTTAACACTGCTTACTGCATTTCTGTTCATTTAAACAAAGCAAGAACAAATAATGTACCAAGATGATAAAAACTCATTTTTATTACTTTGTAGACTCCTTCCTACTGCTCATATTATCCTCTTACATTTTCTGTTATTGCTTTGTTCAAGTTCCTCAGTGGGAAGAAATCAATGAAGTTTGTTCGTTTACTTCAATGAATTAAATGTTAGACGATTCAGCACCATTTGTGTTTTGTCTAGATTACAAAGGTTATAGTGGTTTGGTTGAATTTGAGAGTAGACATTCCAATAAGATTTTCGCATAACGCTCAATACTACTGGTTGATCGATACGAGCAGTTGAATATCACTCACTGCAACCAGTAATGCTTGTTAGCCAGATAGACAGAATAGTAAACTCATCATCATCACATCTGTACACGGTCTGACTCGAATCAGTTCAAAGCACCCGTTGATAGGCTCGACCCCAAGTGAGCGAAACAGTCGTCTGGTGATTAGATCACTTCCGTAATCTCGCTACCACGAGGTTATCTGATGGATGGTGACTAGTGGTGGGATCCACAAGTCACCCTATTTGGAGCTCTTCAGTCCTCCCAGTGGCAATTCCATTGATTGCATAGCTTTATTCTATACAAAAATAAGCGTTAAGCTTACTCACAAACATGGTTTTTAAGGTATGATACAGGTAACAATGAGTTGATTTCCTACGTATATGAACTTGTGATTAAAAAACTATACTAAACTCTTGTATCTTACCTATTCTACTTTACTGCTCCCCGTTAGTCTTTCCTGATCTACTGAAAAAGGACTATACCATCCTGAGAAGGATGGTGAAGGTAGTCAGTAGGACTAGTGGTGTAAAAGTCAGTTCGTCACTACTTTAGTTGATAGGCATCTGAATACATTCGAAAAATGATCAAAAACCATACTCTCAGATCCCCAACTCTCGCCTTGTATCTCATCAAGTAAAACCAGAAATCAGTATAAAATAATTTATGCTGGTACAACCAAGTACAGGAACTCAACGATACCATACTTGGCCCGTGTTCTAAGCGACAGAGACAATGTTAAGCGTGAAACCTATGACTTGCTTTGTTATTAACAGCATAATTTTAGGCTCTTTTATTTCTCTCTTATTTTGTATTCTATAGTGAACTCCTTCTCAAACATACTTAGCTACCTAAATTATTAACATTGGCTTCCTTTTTTGTACTTTACTATATTCCTTCTATTGTGTATCCACTGGTTCCGACTCTATTAGCACTATGAGTATTACAAAATTTTCCTGTCATTAACCATCATGTAATTATTAGTTTTGTGGTTGTTTTTTCTTATTTTCTATACTTTTTCGGCAATATTAAACTGACAATCGTTGGTTGTGAACGCCATAGTCACCACCTTAAAAATTTTTGTATCATTCAGGATTACTCACACTACCACTACAAACACTGCATTGGACCTGACAATATAAAACAAAACAGCAAGCCTGAGATGTTATTTTATGATTGTTTCAACCAAATTAACTGATCATCTTAGCGATAAACATTCTTCAATATCACTTCATAACTTCCACTACCCAATACTGAGATATTATTTATTATGTTGTTTATTTTCCTTTCTACTTCTTGGTATTTTTTGCATGTTTATTATTATTATTTTTGTTGTTGTTGTCTTTATATTTAGTTTTCGAAATACTCCTTTTAAATGTTTGATAAAATTAGATGCAAATATTGTAGATATGTGCTGAAAATTCCACACTGTACCACTAGTACTGTTTCTGGAATAAAGCAAATTATTATTATTATTAATCCACTTCGAAATAAAAAGAGAATACATCACTTCTGTCTACAATAAGTAAGCAAATTAAATCGCTTACTGGACAGTAACACTAATCGAACTAGTCGACAGATTTGACATTGAAAATGGTTAACAAGGAAGAACACGTTACACCTAGCTTCTGAGTTTACTGTCCCTCAGCAGCAAACGGAAAGCACAATACACTAGGAAAGTGTATTGTCTGTGTAATACTTGGAGCTGCATAGTTTTCCATATATATACGTCTGTATTTTACCAACTAACAACTCATGAACAATCTCTAGCTTTTCATATCCATCTATCTAGTGAGCGAAAACCAATTTACTACTAACATAGGGATAAAGGTGATGAAGACATCTAAGCGATAACAACAACAACAGCAAGCATGATAAAACAGGAGAAATCTAGAAGAAGCCACCTTCTTCACTTATTCAGACAGCATCATTTCAACTACAGGCAATGACACAGATGAAGATGTCAAGGCCAGAATCCGAAAGGCAAAACAGACCTTCATTACTCTGAAATCAGTTTGGAAATCCTCTGCACTAAGCATAAAGAACAAGATTTAGATTTCCAATACCAATGTGAAATTAGTCAATGCTTCTCTATACGGCTCAGAGACTTGGTGGATGAGTCACCAAAGGCATTTCCAATCCGCTTTAGACTTTTATCAATAGTTGTCCTTCACACCATACTGGAGATAAGATGGTCGGCCAGAAAGGATTGGGAACAATGAACTATGACAATGAAGAGCCTATTACCCAACAAATATTCTAAAGAAGACGGAGATGGATAGGATACACGCTGATTGACATCACACGTGAAACAGGCCGTCGAGTGGAACAACGAGTTTGACGTTAGTTAGAAGTTGACATAGAGGAGATTGTGTAACGAAAAGCCGCCAGCAAAAGACATCTACAGAAAACGCGATGAAATGCAGATGTACTGTTGAAGCCTGACATTCCACTCGAAACTTAAAGGAGTAATAATAATAGTAATAATATTAATAGTGTATAATATTGAATTCAATAATGAACCAGTCGATTGTATCACATACACAATGCAGGATACCCTTACAACAGTGATATTAAAACCTAACCCATTTGACACTTGGCCTTATTACAGTTACTTTCCACAAATGTATTTATATTTAATTCATTCCGAGTAGGATGACTGATGAATAAAGACACAATACATACATACATACAACCATACATAAATAAATAAAGCAAAACATCATTCAGTTAGTATGGCTAATCACAGTCTAAATAATTTAATAGACAAAAAAGAGAGAGAGAGAAGGCGAACTGAATGTCAAACAGACAGATGAATAAATAAATAAATGAAGGATAGATACATTTTGTTAATACACACACAAATACATAACTAATTGATAATTAATGACAGAGATCAAGAAGACCATGGAGAGGAATAAAAGAAATCAATAACACACACATATATCCGACAATTGCATACCAAAAATAATATGATTTTCTTCTAGAGAAGGAGAAAAAATGACACTTTGACGATCGCCACTCTCATTCTACAAGATATAAGATTTTCTAAAAAAAATAAGTAAACAGGACAAAAAACCCAAATGTTTGCAATAGATTAACTAGAAGAAAACAAAGATGAATCATTCCTAATGTTTTACATAATGATGAGATGAATTGAGTGCTATAGAGAGAAAAAGGTAGATGGTTTCGGGGGTCGATCGGTCGGTAGTTAGGTAGATACGCAGGTACATTTCAACATTGCTAGAAAATTGAATTGCTTCTGTAGTAACACTTGCAGTAGTGCTGGTAATTGTAGTAGAAGAGATGTAATCACGACAAAATAACACATTTTCCAATGACTACACACCATTTGAAGTATGATGTAAGTAAACACCACAAGCACACACTTACATACAAACAAATAAATAGATTACTTAGAATACGAAGAAATTGATATTTCTGTATATATAGACTAGAGGAGAAAAAGAAATGATTAACACATGGTAATGACAATGACAAAGAAAGCTAACACAATAACAGAAATAAACATACTCACACTTAGTCATTTTACATTAAATCATCCTACATATAAGAAAAAACAAAACAACTACAAATTAAACAAAAAGATAGCGTACTTTTTTGGTGACAAAGTACAATCCTTTATAATCACCATCATCATCACCATTGTTATTATTATTATTATGCTAAAATGTGTCTATATGTGAGGGATGAATGAATTTTTTTCAATGAATTCCATTGCTTGGTATTGGTACTAACAACATAATAGTAGCACCACTACTAGTACAGTGCCAGTTAAGTAAGAGTCGTTAACACAGTATGGATTATATAAAATTGGTGTGTGTGTGCATAGACGATGAACAGACAAGAGCAAAAACAATCAGAGTATAGAGGAATGTACATTCACAAAGAGAGATTAGAAAGGATGGCTGGAATAATGACGGCGAAAAACAGACGGTTACATACACAGGCATTCAATGTGAAGGTGTATGCGAATACAACAAGACAGAGAATCGATCTCATCATCATAACTATAAAAAGGAACAACCTACTTTACTGATAAGAGGAAGAGAGAGAGAAAGGGAGTTAATAGCACAATGAATTAATCACCATAAATGGGTTTCACGTATTTCACCGATGATTAAACTGGCCTTCTGTAGAGCCTATAAAACAATATGTATAAAACAATTAATAAATTAATAGGGTTAATTCATGAATCATAATGTACCAATAATTGGATACAATTGAATAATATAAAGCTATACAAGGTAAAGGATTAAAATCAATGAGATTAACTACTGTGGTAATCTGTTCATTTGATTTATTATATTACAAAAAACTGGAGCCCAGTGACCCGTATTCTCATATGCAAACATGACTATTAGATGTAAGTGGCAGCATTGTTTCAACTACAGGCGCCACGGATGAGGATGTTAGACAAGATAGACAGGCTTTCATTACTCTAAGATCGGTGTGAAAATATACGGCACGTAGCACACCACACAAGGAAAAGGATTCGAACTTTTAACACGAATGTCAACTTTTGCATGGTTCAGAGACTCGCGACGCACACATCACCAAAAGTATTTTCAACAGCCTGCTACAAACTTCCACCAACAGATGCTTTCATTAAGTACTGAAGATCAGACGGCCGGTCAGAAATAATAAATCTACAAAGAACTCTGAAAGAGAATCAGCCAACAAACTACTGCCTAACAAATATGCAGAAGAAGGTGGAGAATGAATGGATATACATTCAGGAAATCCCCAAGTAACTTCACACATCAGAACTTTAAAGGGAACCCTAATGGGAGGCCACGAGTTCGGCATGGTCCTGGGGGTAACACAGAGTAGACCATATGAGTAGGAAGTAATGCCAGAGAACTAAGTACGACGGAAATGTTTTGTTGATGCCCTACGTTTCATTTACAACCCAAGGAACAAATAATAGTAGTAATAACAATTACACAAATGATGTATCTACGTCTTTTTAAACCTTTCGAATAATTCGAAAAAATATGAAAATCTAAGATACGTCGTTTTTCAAACTTTCGAGTTAAACTACGGTTCAAAATAACTTAGATAGCAGAGTCAGATTCCAGCACTCGTTTATTTGCGTTTCGGATGAACACCGACAAAATTTCAGACATCTGCTAGTTTCTGTTTACATTTCTTCTATAAACAGTTACTACTGTACTATGTCTTGGAGGATATGAAGATTGACGTATTTCAAGAAGTAACCACAGACATATTTCTGTTAATAATGGGAATCTATGATATTACAATGTTTTTTTTAAAAGGTGTGAATTAGATAAAGTCCACTTTAGTCCAATCTACATTAGACAAGATCCATGACATAGTGAACGTGACCTGTGATTTCAGTTGAGAGAATACCATAATCCTTCTCATCTGTAACAAAGAAAATGAGTGATTTCTGAAAAATACAGAAAAGTCACAAATTGTCCTAGTAACCTAAGTTTAACCCTATCGTAAGTATAAAACTAGTATTAAATCAATCAACTTAGCTGACAAGACCATAAATACGATAACAGCCAAGTTAAACAATAGACATCTAACAGCTATGAACACACCAATAATCTTGGGACGCTGAGTCGGAGCAAAACAGTGAAACCAGATAAATATCAGTATATTCAAGAAGTGTGCGTCGGTGGCACAGCGGTAGATTACTTGCCAGTCATGCAGGGGGCTGCCCCAGCCGACGAGGAACTCCTTTACCTCGCTAAGCCAGTAATAAGACTGGTAAAGATGGAAAGCTGGGCATGAGGCTAACAACCCTATCCCATAAAAATAAACACCAATTCTACTGAAGCTTCAGGCCTCTAGCTAGAATACAATCATGTCTGAAGTCCTCCGGCGTACTTTAATCATTAAAAAACTAACATTTTCAAAATACAGACAGGCATCAAAAGAAAAACAGTCTACACACATTGTCCTAGTAAAGTTTATACGAAGACTTACCTTTAGCATTTCTGAAGCTTCTCTTCTACGTTGAGCAACTCGTTCACTTTCTTGCAACAGTACATCATATTCATCTTGTTTATACAACTTACTAACAAGTTCTGATTGCAAATTATCTTTAACAAAATTCACCAGGAAATGCATTATTGCCTTTGGAACAGTGTCTTGTATATTTTTACGAACAATTAGGAAATAGGAACGAATTAGTCGACCTTGAAATATAAATAAGAATAAAGGTGGTGGTATTAGTTAGAATTCACAATAAGTAATGAATACTGTTAGAATAATGTAGTAATTAATAATAATGAATAACTTTCAGTATTATTACTGTCATACCCTTAGTATTCAGAACGGAACATAATCTATATAACATTGTTAAAAGAGTCGATATTCTCAATTATTGTAACAAGGGACTCTGACAACGAACCTACAGCCTAACAAATATTCAGAAGGAAATGAAGATGGATAGGACATATGTTTAGGAAATCAGTGAGTGACAACAGACTCCATGCAAGCACCACAAGTGGAACCTGAATAAAAAACAACGAGTTGAGCGTGAGTTTTACAATGACATGGATGAAATTATCCATGGAGGAAATGACAGCTTATGGGTAATCGTAGAGCCATTAAAAATAGATTACAAAACAACAGAATGAAATGCAGATGTACCGATGAAGCCCTGTGTTCCACTCGCAACCGAAGAGAGTAGTAACAATAATAACAAGTCTCTACTGAATCAACAATTATGGAATACATCAATGGTGACTGTGTTTAAATAAATCTCAATGGGTTTTCTGTCAATGGAACTTCAACTGGCGAATTTCCGTCTACTTTGGCCTAGATGACTAGACAATACTATCAGCCCTCTCTGCTTCTGTCGGACAGACATGAATTGTAGCTCACATCTAAGTAAATGAAGTTTTTAATTCTGGCCAATAAGACTATGAGGACTGATTACTAAGTGCTTAGAGATTCAAAATGTGAATCACATACAGCTATCTAACTAGTCACGTGTTTAGTCACATTTTGGGTATATAACAAAAGTAGAAAACGTCTACATCTGTTATGCCACAGATTTGATTGTTGTAGTCATTTCCCTAGTTCAAACACTCAACCACAGACTGCAGAGTTCGAAAAACCTGTGAAGTTATTATTAGAGAAGTGAAGATATTTCAGACAGTAGATTGTGATGTTACTGATGACACCTTTCAAAAATGGCAACACAGTATCACCGATCATGTCAATTGTTCTACTAATAAACAATCTTAGCACAAGTCAACAGTACGAGTCTATTTTCTTTAATGTCCTCTATATGAAATTTTCTCCAGTTTTACAAATAAAATTTTGGGCATGACTTGATTCCGAGGAAACCAGTATTCTAGAAATAAAAGCCAACATGAATATTTTCGATAAACAAACGTAACCATTAAAACAAGCTACTAGCTGAGATTAAGACAAATAAGATTGGAAAATAGTTGATTAAAAATGGACAACAGTTGCAGAACCAACGGATCGTAGTTTCAACAGTACGCACACATAAAGCCAGGTTACGAAAGAACGCTGAAGTTCAAGTGACTGAGTGATCCGACTCGCCTGCCTCGTAACCTTAAGGTTGTGGCTTCAATCCCCGACGAGAGTGTAGGACGTACTGCTGAAAAGTTCTGAACTAGAATGAAACAACTATGCAGTACTCCCTGGTTTTCACACTGGTAGCAGTTGATGATCTAGCCTGAAACCAAACAAATCTCTGCAAAACAATACTTGAAAAATGGATTTGTCGAGTTGGATAAATGAAGCATGCGTAAAAAATGACCAAATACGCCTGTAGAAGTGCATTTGTATTTAATTCACGTTTTCAATACATCCTATCATGGTAAAAGTGATTATCGAGCTTCTTGTAATCAGTATTCGATTTTTAGAAAGGTCGTCGTTCTAATAATCAGCATTTTTTGTACGGAATTCCAGATGTGCTAATTTCTCTGGCATATATCTTCTATGTAGTTGGTTTGTAAGGATTAGATTTGCTTTTACGAGTTGATCACGGATTGATATCAGTTAGAGAACTATTGAAAACCAGCACTGGAGTACTGGACAGACGTTTCATCCTAGTTTGGGATTCGTCGACAGTACGCAACCACCACCAGGGCTTGAACCCAGGACCTTCCAGTTACATGGCAAGCTCGTCTACCATTCAACTACTGGAATCCCATTCAATGACCCATGAATTCTAACTTCTACCAATTCGTGTTTTTAGCGCGACTACCAACCAGTGTCATCGGTGAGATATCCATCCTTACACTCGACTGGATGGACCTGGATTTGAACCCCAATGGGTGAGTACTGCCGGTGATTCCCAAATTAGAATCAAACAGCTATCCAGTACTCCCTGGTTTTCAATGGTTCTCTAATTGATATCTATCCGTGATCAACTCGTATATCTTCTTGTCGATTTATAATATTATCTTTTCCAGAATCTAGGTTTTAATAATTGTTATTGTTATTTATATGACTACAAAGCTTTTTCACAGAAGGGTTGAGTTACGATCATGGATAAGCTTAGAATTTGGAAATCGATCAATCGATAGAACCCATATTTATATATATATATATATATATATATATATATATACGGACTACATAATTAAAAACAGTTTTGGCCAATTATTATCAGTATTTAATCTGTGGACATATTGCATACTGATTCGTATGCTCACATGTGACTGTGAAAAGGGTCAATAATTACTTAAAAAGGAAGCAAAAACAACAAATTGAGCAGCATAATATGACATAATTATTTCCTTTCATTGAAGCATACAATCCAGAAATGCTTTTCTCATCGATTTACAAAATATTCACATACTTTTGATTAAATAGCTAGACGATTGGGCAGATTAATTTAAGTGTAGAGAATATGGCCAATGTGGTAGAATATAGTTTCATATCACATACGTTTATTTCATACACTTATTCTCCTTAATGAATTTGAACAAAGCAACAACTACAGTTTTAGCAGAATAAAATGGTACCATCTTTTATTTCGTCGCCTTCTCTTCAGCTACTTACAGGGCAAAGACATTAATAAATGTATCTAAAAAAAACAATTTAACATACTTGCACAGAGTTCATTTTAAACAAAAATCAATCGTTCAGTATACGCATACACTAATAATATATATATATATATGCAATATTAAACACAATCCCGAACAATAATAATCATACACATTGAAAACTTTTCAGTATCTCGCATTCGGATGAAAAATATCCAGTTATCAGGGAGCAGTTACATTGGAAGAACAGAAAGAAGGGCATATCTACGATTTTCTGAACATGTACCAACAAGCTTACGTCTAAAAGGAACAAATGCTTTAAACAGTGCCATCGCCAGGCATCTTCTTGACACGGGTTATGAGGTGAACTTCGAAAAGTCGTTCAAAATTATCAATAAGCAAAAGAGCTCAATTCTCCTCAAGTTTGCTGAAACCATTTCCATCAAGCGCCTAAAACCTGATTTGTGCGTTCAGAAAAAAAACGGTTATCAATCTTTCTTTGCTCTGGTAACTGGATATTTTCACCTCGCTTCCATATGATTACGTAATGTCGAAAATTTCCATTGTGTATGATTATTATTGTTCGGGATTGTATTTAATATTGCATATATATATATAATTAGTATATGCGTATATTGATCGATTGATTTTTGTTTAAAATGAACTCTGTGCAAGTATGTTAAAATTGTTTTTGTAGATACATTTAATACTGTCTTTGCCCTGTAAGCAGCTGATGAGAAGGCAACGAAATAAAAGATGGTACCATTTTATTCTGCTAAAACTGTAGTTGTTGCTTTGTTCAAATACGTATATTTGTTATAATATACACTGATACAGTGTGAATAATTGGATGATGTTTCGAGTGTGATTTATTGCTGCTTATAATAATAATATCAGTGCAATCACACGACTTCCTGATATGCATTACATATAGCCTTACTCCCTTCTGTTTTGTATTTCTATTTTACACATATCTGGATTAGGTGTGGCGTCATTTCGACCGAACTTGTTTTGTGTCGATTTGGACAAAAGTTATTGATTAACCTGTTTGTCCACCTAACTATATTACTTTTTAATTCGCTTACCCTATATCCCATCCTATTGCGTAATTCCATGCAAGTGAATTCATTGCAATTGACTTCATAGTCATTAAACATGTATAATTTTACCTGATTGGACCTTAAGCCCACAAAGTTTGTCACTAAGTGAGTTAGCTGGTTTAAATGTCATCTTAATTCCAGTCTCATTCATAATCCTACGTAGGGATTTTGTGTCCTTCCCGTATATAAGTAATATAAGAAAAGTCGACCACTGTAATGGATTCACTTGCATGAAATGTCACATTAGGGTGAAATAGGATAAACGTATAGAGACGTAATAAACAGAGAGCGAGAGAGATTAATCACCGAATCTATGTTCATTAAGTCGACAGTAGAATGTGTAGTCGTCGAAATGACGCAACACCACTTCTACATATATGGAAGACTGCAATTACAAACAGGAGGTAGTAAAGTCATCTGTAATATATATATATGTATATATATACATATATATATATATATATTCTAGAGTCATAAACGGAAATCGAACACAAATTAGTAACTCAAACAAATCGCTAGTACATGTTACGCAGTAAACAAAAACCAACGAAATAAAACGATATGATGTTATCCCGCTCACTCAATTTATTGTTTTTGCTTAGTTTAAGTTCATCAAGAGGAAAAATTTGCATAGAATCTTTTATGAGTTGTAATAGTTTTTGCAACTACTCTGGTAACCTTGCTAGTTTGTGTTCCGGAATCTTTATGACAAGATATTACGTAACATACCTATCACTCACAATTTGCATGACACAGCAACTGACCACTTTTGAAGTAACAACAACAACAAAATCACTATTTTCAAAGGTTTTGCTAAAACAATGCTCATATTTATGGGATTCAGCAGAGAATAATTTATGTACTAGTTTGCAATCAGTCACTTGGAACAGGTCTTTCATGTACCAACCTATGAATTACACTTATTATATGATGACTGATCACACTACTTAGTTATCCAGTTGTTGAAATAATTGGGGCAGGATTCGAACCCGGGGGATGATTGACTGAAAGCTAACTAGTCACATCTCCATAATGGTCATTTAACTTTCTTTTTACATCCACCTAATTCAGACTGGTAAAAACAATTCAGTAACCGATGTGCTGACCTGTAAATTACACAAATCAGTGATACATTCCAGTTGCCCGAAAAATATTTATAAGTGCACACCACACATAGCTGAATCTATGGTAAAGAAATTAAGCGTTGTTGGTAAACAGCTAAGACTAACTAAAATTAAGTAGTTATAAAACAATAATAATAGTACATATGTTAAAAGAGTCAATTAGTTTAGTTAGCAAAATGAATTGTGAACCTACCAATCACTTCGCAATCGTGTCGTTCATTAGGAGTTAATTTGTGCTGTTGAACTTCTGTTTGCTAACATAAATTTAAAAGAATTTAAAAAAAAAGAACAAGGTAAATACACCTCAACAGAATATTCAATTGATTACACATTTATTTGAGAGAAATACTTGTTTGTGATTTTGTACATTAGGGATTCAAGGGTAGAATGCTGCTTGCTAACCACGCGCGCGATCCAGGTCCGATTCCCGGTCGATGCACTACTAAACCTCACATAGCCGGTAGTAAGCCCTGAAAGGAGGGCGTGATGCTAGCAACCGTATCCCGTAAAAATAACACCAATGGTACTGAAACTTTAAAGTTTAGAGCTTGAAGCCCAATATTTCACTCGTATGTACCAGAAAAAAACGAAACGCGAACATGTGAGTCAAATATGGATTATATGATGTAACACTAAATGATCATGTATGTGCACGATATAAATTCGAATTCCAGATAGTAATGAACATCTTTATATTGGGAATTTTATTCTTAGAAATAAAAGCACACATGTTTAATAGCCCAGTTAAATAGATGTATGAGAAGTGGTAAGGAAAAGCACGAGATTGGTTTATGCAACGACAAACAATGAGGGATTATGTTACATGAGTGATAAAAAAGCTCTTATACAGGGTTTCAACAGGTTGTAAGACTCAGTTTTATCGAAAACACTGTCAGAATATAATTTGATTGGTTGGAGGATTTCATCATGAGCTGACATCTGTTAGAGAACCACTGGAAAACCTAGGAGTACTGAACAGATGTTTCGCCCTAGTTTGGGACTCCTCAGCGATACGCACCCACCGGGTTTCGAACCCAGGACCTTATGGTTACAAGGTGAGCTCGTAGACCATTGAGCCACTGGGAAGACATTGCGAAATAGTCACGCCATGTCGTGAATTTGCAGAAGTTAGAATTCAAGAACCATTGGATCGGGTCCCAGTGGCTCGATGGTCTACGGGCTCGCCTTGTAATGAGAAGGTCCTGGGTTCGAAACCCGGTGGGTGCGTACTATTGAAGAGTCCCAAACTAGGACGAAACAGCTGTCCAGTACTCCCAGGTTTTCCAGTGGTTCTCTAACTGATGTCAGCTCATGATGCAATCCTCCAACCAATCAAACAAAAAAATCCCTAAAAATCCAATACTTGAGAATATAATTTGAACAAACCAAAACTAAAGGATAGGAGTGGAATAAGATGATATAATTTTATTTTATTGGCTTATCGTCAGCCAATTTTTTAAGGTATGTACATAGTAATTTATAACATGATGTCAGGTGACAGGAGACTCTAGAATAACAAAATGTAGTCAAAAGTTACACTTGTAGATACTTGTAAATACTTCGAAATGTATTTAGGTAAAACATTAGAGATGAATAAGTTAGCGGTAAACAACTAATAAATTACGCAATTATGTAGTGAGTTCAGCTCACTTAACAGAAACAGGAACAAAGAGAAACAGAAATTATTCAGAAAACAAAAGACAAGAGGATAAACTAAAAAAATTCTGTAATCAAATGGAAAGAAGAGTTAAGACACTGAGTTACAACGGCAAAGGAAGACTAAGAACTGCTTTTTTTTCTGAACACTTAAATCCGGTTTCACATGTTTGATAGTTACAGTTTCTGAAAACTTGAATAGTTTTGCATAATAGTTATCTTAAAGGATTTCAAGAAGTCAATTTCATATGTCCCGTATCGAAAAGTTGCCAAGTGATCACACTATTGAAACCATTTGTTCCCTTGAAATGTAGGCTTTGTTGAATATAGTCAGAGAATCCAGGGTATGCCCTTTTACGCATATTCTAACAATATAACTACCACCACAGATACATGCAAAATTGTATTGTATTTGTAATCAGAGTTAACATCAACAGAGCACCTATCGACCTTAAAACCGCATCAAAAAGAGAATGTTGTCCGACACACAGAAACCAACTTGGCTGCAGGGCATAGGTGATACTGGGGTGGTGTGAGGTGCTCAATCTTTTACCGATTACTCATGCAAAAGCATTAACATTTAAAACAGTGTTTTATGAAGGTAGAATTGACTATTCACCGTGATTTACCTTGCATTCACATCTACAGACGCTTCATAACTTATTAGTGGATTTCTGTGGGTAATCAATAATTTCTCTCAATTTTCTAAAGAATTGGTGATTCCTCTTCCAATTTTTCACTGAAGCATATTCTTCTGACCCATACTCTGCACATATACTTGAAGCCTTCATAGGTTGGGTGCAGGAGACGAAAAACCGATGAGAAAAAATGACAATCTTATTCTGCTCTCACCGTTGGTATTTAAATTCATAAAGGAAATTATAACTACTGAGCTTCTAAAAAATAATTTACTCTCTGTCTGCTACAAGTAGTAGTATTAGGGTAAGAATGTGAAGAAGAAACCGCTGATAAGTAACCTGATATACTGTCATGCTCTACTAATATCATTACTATAACACCTACTATTTAAATCTCTGCAATATTGATTTAAATTCACCATGGTCATGTGACTCAGTTGAAGTGCACACATTCCTTGCTTAAAATGAACACAAATATGTTTAAGCAAAACGTAAAATGATAAATTATCATCATACAGTAAAATAACAAGTTAAGGGAAGAATGTCCTATGTTGTTTATATGTATTCATCGATTTCTAGCAACAAAAAAAACGAATTCTGAATACTTATATAACTCCTCCTGTAAAGATATATGAATGCCCACATGCATTTATGAACTAATTACTTCATTCGTGCATAAGTAATTACCAAACAGAATAATTAAGGTACCAGATACTATAAAGGGATCCTAGGCAGCTACACAAAAATTTGGCAAAGATTATTTACTGTACCCTTGATTTGTGTGCTTTATGGAGGGAGAGTGGTAACTCAAACTGCCGCACATCTGTGCAAAGTTCTACGTTGAAACCAGTCAGTCAGAATAATACATCTTCCTGTAATACCTATAAGTATACAAACTAGACTAAAGTAGTTAATATCTACGATCCCAGGGGATATAGCAATATGACTACTAAGTGAAGTTAAGCCACAATACACTGGTCAGACTTCAAGTTCTAATATGACTGCGCTGATTACATTATAAGCCATATTTCTTGACCAGAAGATATCATTAGATCGTGTCTATTGATAGACGTTGTAGGAATGCAGGGTTGTGAAAGGAGTCTTTAGAAACTGCAATCGTGTAAAGCCTGTTTAGAGTTTGCATTCTAAGTGAAAACAACCGATGGTATCCATCATGAGGGCGTAAGATTATCATCTGCCCTTTATTTTAAATATTTGTATTGATGTATTCAACCCTCCTTGACCTGAAAGTCCAAGATATCAACTTGGTTGACTTGGAGTGTACAGGCGACACAATATATTGTCCTATTGTGAATGTGTCGGTAGTTCGACAGTAGAACGCTCACCAACCATGCACCTTGTCCGGGATTCGATCTTCAGCTGACGCACCCCTAAACCTCACTAAGCCGGTAGAAAGGCCAGTAAAGAGGGAAGGCTAGCAATTTCACTCCATAAAAATAAAAACCACTGCTACGGAAACTTCAGAGTCCTAGCTTGAAATTCCACGTTACAGTCGGGACGTAAAGGAATAAAATAATTATGAGTGCTTTCAGAAGTTTTGCAACTTGGACTCATGCACTGTGGGTAGAGTTCTACTTTGATTTGTTCGTCAGTCTCCTGAAACATGAAAAGTAAATCCCTTAATGAAACTCACTAAATCCTGTAAAGTTTTAGAGGTATATCGAAGATATGTCAAACAATTAACAGATGGTGGCTATAGCCGCCTACAACATTAAGTATTCTTATAGGAATCTATCCTTCAAGTAGTCAGTAATCAAAGTAATATATCCCTTGGACAACGTAATTTGGATATCAGACATTAGAAAACCCTCGGCTTACGGTTTTGTGCACCTGATTGGCACTCAAAGTCTAAAGTTACGAATGATATAGCACCCAATTGACAAAAAAATGTACTAATAAAAATAATACTTTAAAATATTCCAGCACAAGAAAAGTTTACATTTGAGATGGACGTAGACATAAGTAATCATTCAATCGATGAATTTTTTTGGGGAACTTCCTGGCACCCAGAATGTATATGCATGTTTTCAGTGATTCTACGCTCTTGCCTTTGTTCAGTCAATCGTTTTAGAAAACTGTTAGTCGATATAGTAATAGAGATATTGGAAACCTCTATTTTCTTCTTCGTACTGATGGTTATAACTACAATGCACTCAACTAAAAAAAACTTAATGATAGCATAATTTTACAGTGTATTTCATTTGCATGTCATAATCAGTTTCAAATGCCAAACTATAGTTTGTGTAGAATTGTCCCGAGTTTTTGTTTCTAGAGGTTTGCATTCTGATGCCTTTCCCTAAACAATAAACATTCTACTGTTTCACAACACGTTTTTGATGTCTTCCAGGCTATGAGCCTCACTTATTATGTGAAGGTTAGTGATACCACTCAGTTATCCAGGCTCAAGTACGTGGAATGGGATTCGAACCAAGAACCCATTGATTGAAAGTCGAGTGTTAAGCCATTTAGCCACGTGCAGCTACGTGAACGATGGATTTTCAATTAACTTTCTTTCCGTTATTTGAAAACGATTTTTGCTGAAGCGTCTAGGGGAGATGGCTAAACCCTGATTCCAAACCTCCAACGACTGGCGTATGTAGCTGACTGGAGACGCATGGACAAAGGGCTTGTTGGATGTCCTGGATGTCTGGCCCCATTCAAGAAGGCATATGAACCGAACTCCGATCACCGGCTGCCAATGAATAGTGGACTCCCTACTCCACTCCTATTGCCTTGTAGGTCACACTTAGTTGTGTAAAGGCTACAGCTGCACTCTCAAACAAAAGGCCGAGCGATTCTGGGGACATCACTCGTACCAAATTCCCATGAAACTTCATGAACTCACTTACAAACGACTATTCGAGATGTTCATGAAGCCGGTTCATCCTCCCGTAGGAGATAGCCGTAGTAAAGTAAAGTAAGTAAGTATTTGATACTCCGATAAGCGTATTGGCACACTGAAGTATGAATTATTTTTTACCTATTAGTACGTACAAAAAACATCTACAGTGATGATTCCTCACGAAGAACAAAAAAAACTTACAATATCTGGTGTTAGACTTAGGCCAATTTGTGAATTATCTGAATGTTGTTCTTGAGAAGGACCATTCATAGTAAACGAATTGTTTGATTCCTCATGCGTAATCGATGAAGTTAGACGACGATTAATATGTGAAGCAGATGTATTACGCAGAGCTGATCCAATAGCTGATCCTTGTGTGATTGATTGGTCGTGAAGTGACTGTAGAAAAAAAACAACCAATAAAAAAGAAAATTAAGAATTAGAAGATACATGTGTCTATTGAGAAGTGTAGAAGATGTTTCAAAACAGCAATTAAAGTCAGATATGCAAAGTTTTCCTTAACTCATAAGTCAGAATATTCAATATTTGTTCGTAAAACAAAGAATTCACGCATAAGAGAAAAGAGCAACACACACGACTTAGTAGAAATTTTAAATTAAAAATAACAATAGAGGTGTAGAATTCCTTTAGTATTCAGCTTGTACTAGGGACTTCTCGTCTAAGGTTTTTAAATAAAAACGAATATTGCAGCATAAGTTTGTGAAGCATAAAACAAACAGTAAACGATAATATCTGTAATGAAAAATTAACAATATTATTGGTAACAGTGAAACATGAAGCTGGATAGTTGAAAGCGATAATAATAATACTATAGTATCCTGACTGACTAAGATTCCGCACAGAACTTCGCACAAAAGTGCAACAGTTCAAGTAGTAACCACATTCCATGAAGCAGACAATAGCAGGAAAGAAAACAAAGGATTCAAAACGACTATAATAACCAGAAAAATGAATGAGAAAGAACAATGACATGGAAAAGCAATAGAGTTGAATAGATCTGGGAGATCATAGAGAGTGAAGGTATCTTCACCACTGAGAATGATTTTGAACCACATGACCGACAGTGTCAAGTCATTGGTTCTTACAATCTCTAGTTTCGACGTAGAACTTTGCAAAAGTTCGAGTCGCCACACTCCATGTAGCACACAAAGCAAGAGAAGAGAGTGAGGAAAGATAATAAACAGAAATATGAAGTAAAAACAATAGTAATATGGAAGAATAGTAGTTTTATTGGATATTGTAAATCACAATACATCTGCGTCATTGAGAACGATTTTGAGCCATATCACCAATTGTCTCCAATCACTGGTTTTTACCATCCCGAGGACCCCATCCAAGAAGTCTACACCTCCCTACGCGGCTTAAACTAACTGTTGTCGATTTCATCGATTGATTCCATGCTTGTATGGGACCACCACTAGCTCTTTTCCAACTTTATCTTATATCAGCTAACATGTCCTAACCATCTCAATCGATGTAGCTTTACAACTTCACCGACTGACTTTCCCTCCTTAACTAACACTTACTTACCTTAATATTACCTACCGTATTGTGCCACTTACCATGGGAAGTAGAACGCACACACTTATGATAACAACTTTGTTGATTCTGATGACTTTATTTTGTTTGTTTGCCTGTTCTTTAATTGCTTATAATTCTTCTGTTCATTTAGAACTCTTACGTAATTTCGTATTTTCTACTTTGTTCCTATTTGTATCCTGAGTAAAACTCAATCATCAAACTATTCATGTTGTAACATAACTTCTTTTTTAACAACTGTTTGTGACAACTCATCACCCTAATTTCATTAACACCTAATTTTCTTCACTGATTTTATATTACGTAACTCCAATTACCAATCTTCACCTGTTTAGTTGATATAACCATGACTAATTGTATTTTTGTTTGACAAATTTAATGTACACATACATACAAAATAACACATATATATTTGCGATTGTATAGCTAAGAAAATGAATTCACCGAAAAGAAACTCTTCGCTGATCTACGTCTTTTGTTTTCATTATCACATAATTACAAATAAACATAATGAGAATATCAAAAATACTAATAACGCAAGATAATGCATTGAAATAGTATTAAAACAGAGGTTAATATAAATCAAAATTACCAAATTATCCAATCCAGGAGCTTGTTGTCGATGAGTGCTAAGCGCATCTGAAAAATCTGGATGTCGAGTGTTAATATAAGCTAATTCAATAGATACTAAATTAGTAACCATTTGATTAGTTGGCTGTAACCGCTGACGTAGCACAGAGGTAACCACATCGACTATACGTTCATGTAGTTTGGGAAATCGTAGGAGTTCTTGCTATAATGTAAACAAAACAAACAAAACTCCCAAATATTAGCATTCATCACCACTTTCCGATAACTTGATTAGCTCAGTTACCTTCGCAATATCACTTAACACAATCGAGTTACGGCTTCTCGTCAGTTTGACTAACTGACTGAGTGCACAGAAGTGAACCAGTTCAAATCGCCACACTTCATGTGGTATACACAGGCAGATAAAAGAGAGATCCAAAAGAACTATAATGTGTATAAATGTGCAGGAGAAAGAATGCTAACACGGGAAACATGATGGTCCAGTAGATTTGGGAGATCATAAAGAGTGAATGTATTTCCACCATTGAGAACCACTCAACAAAGTTCAAAGTAATGTCTTGCTCTCAATAAAGTTATAGTTTGTATCAAACTATAAGATAAATAGATCGAACAAAGTATATAACTTTTCCATTGTCATCCTTGAACGCTACTCTGATCATCACAGAGGAGGAAACATGAAGTTAAGAGAATATATGATTGTGCTTAAGGAGAATTTATGAATATGCACCAATTTGTAGAAAGCATTGATACGCTTACATCTAATAGGATGTGAATATTACCAATATGTACTTCGTACACAGATTGAAATTATTTTAATAATGAGATAGGAATATAAATATATCTGTGATTTATGTGCATAAACCTAAGTACTAGAAACGAATCAGTGAGAAACCAATAATAATTTATAATTGTTACATCCACTCAGTTTCAGGACATAACTACATGGTTAGTGAAACTTCTATCTATTCCCTTGCATTCCCGGTGGAACATAAGGCTTCAAGCTAGTGCTTTGAAGTTTCAGTAGCAGTGGTTGTTTCTTCACGAGGTGGGGTTGCTAGCCTCACGCCTAACCTTTCCTATTTGTCGGGATTGTAACCGCCTAAGGGAGGTGAAGGTGTGCTTCGGTCGGGACTCGAACCCCGGTCCATGTTCACCGTCGGCCAGCGCCCTACCGCTGAACCACCGATTCACAACTCAAACAATGCACCACAGTTATTAAAAATAATAAATTGTTCGAGTATCTGGATAACTGTGGAGAATTTACAGCCCACTGACCACAAATATATGTTATCTTAATGAGTATTATGGTATAAAGCATACTTCAATGATCCTTAGCTGTAGGTTTGCCACACTTATTGTTAGGGCTGTTTTGAAAGGCGATGTGGACCTTGTGCAGGCTTCAAAAGATGTGACGAATAACTATGATGATAGCAGCCGAGAAACCACAGAGAATGAAAATTCAATATGCGACCTAAAACGCGCACACTTTACTGAGCCCGAATAGCTCAGTGGTAACGTCTCTGACTGCAGCACTCACTGGAGGTGACGCGGGTTCGAATGTCAGAAGGGACATGAGTTCCTTCAAGTTGGCAGATACGCCTTGCTGACTGGTGAGTGCCAACTAGCACGAAACCTAGGTGCAGCCAAGGCTTCCTGCCGATTGCCTCCAACCATCTAATATAATCGAATCAATGTGCACCATGATGGCGAGCTACTTAGAATGGTGGCCACATTACAAACCTGACTGACAGAAATCATTCTACACCAAAGAGAGGACTAGACACGTCACATTAGTGAAACTTAGCTTAGATTTGTATCGTTCGTCATTACGACGAAACTTTAATGAGTGCTGTTGCGGCCTAATGATTTAAGCGTTTAAATTAATCTACTGAACTGCAAGTTATACCATCATCCAGAAGGACATTAAATAAGGTAGGAATGAAAACTATACACTATTATTTTCAAGTATTGGCTTTGTAGGGATTTTGTTTGATTGGTTGGAGGATTTCTTCATGAGCTGACATCAGTTAGAGAACCATTGGAAAACCTGCAGGGAGTAATGGACAGCTCATTAGTACTGATGCTCACTGGAGACTGGCCCTATTTAGGCAGTTACCTAGGATTCTGGTGAGAGGCCGTGACCGGTAGGGAACAGCAGGTTGAAGGTGAGGCAGTAACTCATCAAAGAAGACATTGTGAAGTGGTCACGCTATGTCATGAATTGTCAGAAGTTAGAATTCATGGGCCATTGGATCAGGTCCCTGTGGCTTAAAGGACTACGAGCTAGCCTTGTAACCAGAAGGTACTGGGTTACGACCCCCGCGGGTGCGTACTGATGAAGCGTTCCGAACTAGGACGAAAAAAATATACACTATTACTTGAAATATGACCGTATAGGGTTGATTTGTCATGTTCAATAGTCATGACAACTAAATGGTAGAGCGTTGAAGCTCTATGAATTCGTAAAAACAAAGCTGTTGTTATTTAACCTACTCATTTTCAGAAACGATATTTCATCGATACAAACAGTTAACAACAGTAGTACAAGAAAACTATGGGTGAAAAAGAGAGTATTGTAACCGGCTGAAGAGAAATTCTGTGCACTTAAAAGCATTCTCTTATAACTGTTGAGCAGCTGAGGATGCACTATAAACGTGAATACATTTTCCGAATAATTGGATGAATGGATGCCACGTGATCGTATGGTTAGTTGATTAAAACCCAGTTACTCGGAAGAGTTTTTTCCATGCACCAGGCTTTGAGCCACAAATATTACATGAAGGCTGTTAACATTGCGCACGCTGCAGTAGATGGGGTGAGATTCGAACTCCGAATCCATCTCCACTTTCATATACTTAAAGGAAATATGATCCATTAAGAGAGACATTCTGAGGTATATTGGCTTTCTGAAGATTAAAGCACCAATAACGTAAAATTACTAATACATACTATTTACGAGAGAGAGTGTGTAGCTTTGTTAAATGTAATGCTTCTTCGAGAAATAATATTTTGACCGCCAAACCATTAGTACCGTTTCACACTTAAACATCTACAACACTAAACTTAATCACTGCTTTACGTTTTAACAATTTATTCTCTATACAGAGTCACTGAATTGATATAAAACAATATACTACATTCTCTGATATCATGAGGTAATGACCAACAACTAATATTGATTTCAACTGACTTCAAAAAACCAAAAAGCTCATGAGTTTTTCAACTATCTGGAACTAGATGGGGAGAAAGGACGAATTAACAATGACCCTCTTGTTTTGTATATATCGTAGCAAGTTGACGGTGAATGCATGCTACATAATCATTCAAAGATGAATTCTAAAATATGAACTACTCATTCACACAGAAGAAGCTTACAGTTACTATAGAAAAAAGTAAAGATTTCATGAAAAATATTTTATCTGCATCACTTACTTGAGCACCACAATGTTGAATAATACGCTGCATCTCTTCATGCACCAATTCAACACATCGTAAACTCGGTTCTTCAAGACGTCTAATTTGTCGTTTTACTAACAGTTCAAAAGAAACTTCTGGAACAAATAAGGCAGGTCTTGGACCGGTAGCATTTCTTATTGCCGTTAAAATATCAAGAGTAGAAAGACCACCCAATGGATCAATTTTACTTAGTGTACGATAGAATGTTTCATGAAATATGTAACAAATACGAGCACCACCACATAATTCAGTTGTTTCTATATCTTTTGCAACACCATCAATTGTATTACAATAGGCAGTATTAAACTTTGTAATAATTTGCAGCAGAAGTTGTCCCTGAAAAAGGGAAAATACACCATATCTTCAGTATTACCAATAACTCGAAGAAAAACAAACAATATAACAAACCTAAGGAAAAATTACTCAACAGCAGCTGCAACTGATTACAACTTTGATCACGACCCGTTACAGAACCATTAAAGATCGATACGAAATCAATCAAATCCTTACAAACCGATGTCTGAAAATTAATCAGCTTCTTACCATTGACTGACTACGGGATGGAGTTCTAGTGAGAAGTTGTGACCAGTGAGGCCACCCGAGTCGGGTGTGAGGACAAACACACGTCAATGACACTGGTTGACTGTAACTTTACAAATCCAAATTAAGTAGAAGTTCGTATGCATGCGTCGTTGGATCAATGGTGAACGGACCCGGCCCGGATGGATACGCGCTGCTACGGTCCCATACTAGGACGAGACAGCTGTTTAGTGCTCCCTGGTGCTCAATGGTTAATCGGACTGATGTCAGTTCGTGATCTTATTTGAAAATAACCAAATCCTTACAAACCAACAGTTGAAATCAGATCTCTTTCTTCAAAAATGGTAGAAGTAATCGAGAACTTATAAGTAGTAAAAGGAGAGTTTATGCTGAGTGACTTGACAAGTGTAATTTACAGTCGGAAATCACACAGTACATCACTCATTAAGGCAAAATAATTACTAGCTCTTCTACGTGTCACAATATCACTTTCCAATCGTTTAATGCAACATAATGCACCACAAAATAGCAAATTAGGATTTACAGCACTATTTGATTTAATTCGGTGATCACAGCCTTTCTCGTTTCTTTCTCTTACTGGAATGTGGTAGGATAGATGACTTAAGATTTCCGTGAGAGAAAAGAAACGTGTTTCATCATTTGTTGATGTAATATAACTATGCATAGTAGGGTATACTTTACAGAATCAGTTTAAGTGACTAGAAGGATTTCCGAATTAACAGTTAACATTATTTAACAACCCCTTGAAGTTCTATACAATCGGCAATGAGCCATGTCTAATGATATGACCTGACTGCCCAAACCATCTTAAGTGAAGTGGGTTTCGAACCTGTAGGCCACTGGTCAGTAATGGCTGATTGACCAGTTTCATCATAGAGCTTTGTGCAGAAGTGCACGCCATATGACACACAAAGGAAGACAAAAGAGGAGAAAAGAGACTCGAAAAAAGTGATAATAAGCAGAAATATGAGGGATAATCAGTAGCAACACGGAAAAACATGAGGGTTTACTGGATATAGAAGATCACAAAGAACGAATGTATTTGAACCATAACACAGATAGTCTCCAGCTAGTGGATCATAGAAACCCGAGGAGCCCAACAAGGAAGTCAACACTTCCCAACGTGGCTGGCTCAAACCGACTACCAAAGACATCATGGATTGATTTCATGTTTGGGTTTTATCATCCCTAACTTTCTTCCAACCTGCTCTTATGTCAGCTAACTGTGACCATCGAATTAGGTCATGGCTTAGATAACCAGCGCCTAGACCAGTGAACCATACAACGCCACATGTATACCTTTTGAGCATGCTGAATTTGTATTATCGCAATAAAAATGCGAGCATTATGAACAAAAAGAGGTATAGTGTATTTCGCATTACAAAATTCCGTTTACTAGACTGAAATCGTGTATAAAGAACCTCACATAATAAAAAAAAGATTAATAATCAATATGAAAATAATCACACATCTAATTTAGACACTATAGTTTGATAGTACAAAGTTAACGAAAATACCGAAATCAATAGAGTAGGTGGTACGACATCAGATATTCTTTCCAGTTCAAACATACCCTCCAAATAAATGACACAAAAAACATCCGAGTTACACTGATATTATAAAAAAGTTTACCATTAGTTCTGTGTTTCAAATAACTTACACAACAATGCATGTAAGATTAAAATAGTTAATTCAATAGTAGACCTATTATGCCTTAAAAAGAACATAAATAACAAAGTATACATGTCTGTGTGTTGGTGGCAGGCTTTTAAAGGAAATTCAAAGATATTTGAGAGAGAGTATTAAACAGCACCCTCATCCTGGTTTACGTGTTACTACCCAATTTTCACCTTCTCCGTCTGAAACGCAAACCAATGGGACAGTAAAATGTACCAACAGATATCCATCTTATACAGATGTCAATAAAATACTAGCTACGGGTTATATAATGATACAGGTTCAATAACAAAAAGTTGAATTCTCGTTAAACTGAACACTCACACACACTTATGTAATTCAGTATTTACGTACATGACAGCAGAACCATCGGATGTGAACGATTCTAAGAAGATTACTGAAGATGAAGTCTATTAACACTGATGATTTGTAAAATGTCAAATTTATCGCATTTTGTTATCATCAGATCTTTTAGAGTTAATGGAAGCACTGACAAAATGTGGCTCAAAGTTATTCACAATTGAGGGGATATACTAGTCACTATTTTCCTGAAAAAAATGGTGAATGTTTTCCACAAATATTCACCTAACCATTGTCTTATAACAGTATTATTTGCGAGATAAAATGAGCTCATTCTTTGTTTCATGACTATTTTTCAGCTGCTAGTACAAAGAAAAATGACGTAAATCATTATAAATGAGCGTAAATATTTAACATTTAGTTTGCACGGGTTGGATTTGATTCGAGTTGGCCCACGCATTGATGTCAGTTACAGAACCTAATTTGGGACTCTATTAACAGTACGCACCCATGACCCCATCAGGGATCGAACCCCAGGACCTCCCCAGGTTACGATGCCAAAATCATTTATCATTCAGTTACATGAGCTGGAATCCAATGGCCCACGAATTCTGACTTCTGTCAATTCGCCGATAAAATCGGTTGGCAGTCGAGCTAAAACCTCAAGTTGGAAGAAATTAAAACCCACGAGCCATTGGATCCCAGTTCAAGTGGCTGAATGGTGAACGAGTTTGGCATCGTAAATTGAACGTCCTCAGTTCCATCCTTGATAAGGTCAACGGCACCTATTGTCAAAGAGTCCCAAACTAGGACGAAACAGCCATTCAATACTTCCTGGTTCTTAATGGCTCGGTAATTGACATTCATCCGTGATGAAAATTGAAACATAAATATATAACATACTTCAAAATTATTTAAACTTGAAGGGCATTTAAAAATTCTTAGTGTGGTTAGTGAACAGAGGAGGTATGACAATAGTCATTGAAATTGAACAAATAGATTTTATTCATACATAATATGATGTAAAGATCAAGAGGAAAGAGTGAGAGTGCAAAGATATGTTAAAGCAATATTATCACGTCAATAAATAGTCAAGTGAATTAAAAGATTACTAATGAGTTCAGCTCAGTGAGTAAAAATCAACACTAAAAACTGTGACGCAACAAAATCATAAACGAACATGAGACATCTAGTTACTAGGGCAGTGAGGGATTAATCATACTATCTTGAAATTATTTTTCACGTTTGTAATCCGTAGTAAACTTTATATGAGTATGTGAGGTAGACTGAGTTTTTCAAACACCAATGATGCATGATTCATGATGTATGAGTTGAACTCACTAATAATCTAACTCACGTAATTATTAGTTTATTTAATAATTTAACTTTTATTTAACATATCTTTCTACCCCCATCCTCTCCTCTTGTACTTTCCATTATATTATGTATAAATAAACTCTACTTGTTTAAGTTAGGTAATTGTCTTGTATTCATAACTCTTGTTCCATTACTGTGCTAAGAATTTTTAAATGCCTCTCGAGTTGAAATAATTTATACTTACATTCAAAATAACTCATGTCATTGTTAGATGGTTTGTAGCTGAAAAATAGCAGTGAAATAAGGAATCAACTCTTTTTATCTCGCAAATATATTCGTTCTTAGAGTGATTTGGTGGATGGGGATCAACAACGGAATCCAGGACTCGCATTTCGTCGCATCCGGGACTCGTCATCTGGACGCAAATGAAATCCTCTGTGAGTGATAGTATTCCCACTGGGACTTGAACCCAACACCCATCGTTTTAAACGCCAAAGCGTTATTCTAATAGACCATTTGGGTCAGTGGGAACACTATCATTCACTAGGGAACGAAGATACATCCAGATGACGAGTCCCACACAGGACGAAATGCTCGTCCTAGATTCCACTGCTAGTAACCATCTATCAGGTTGTTTCAAGTTAATCCCCAGACATCGTCAAAGCGACCGTACCAGGAGCCCACATACCAACAAAGGTCAAACATTTTGGTCCAATCAATCAATAAAAAATCAAAATTGAAAAGAAAACAAATATTAATTCTTGCCTTGTTCAAACTAATCAAGAGAACCGGGTAAATGACGTTCTCCCTCTTTTCTCTAAGTATGACAAAATTCTGTATTGAAGAGTAGAAACTAGAAGTGATGCAAATCTTTGTAAAGCTCAACAATGGATGGCGTCATCCATTGGTAAAATACGAAAAAGTGATTTGATAATTAAGTGAAAGACACTATAATGTGAATAGATTGGTAGCAAGTTGAGAAAGACACACTCATTATCCACTTTGAAAGCTTTATGTGTCACATGAAAGTGACATGTGAAGATGAACAAAATAAATTAATACTACTTTGAAAGTCTAAGATAACGAGATATTTTTGGCGTAGTCAGAGCTGAAGATGTTGTCTAAAAAGATAATGAAAGCTTCGCAGATCATAGAGCACCGGCTCACCAATATTATCCGCCTGAACTACAAATCTCCTCTATCACAAGGGGATATAAGATAACATAATGAATAGCTATGGCCTTTCACAAAAGTGAAACATCGAAAAACAAAACTAGCAAATCAAGACTTACTCGGTCTTCGATTTCATCACCGAAGGTATTTAAGAGATTCTGGAATTGTGCAGCCATAACATTTACACGCGTTTTCAAGTCAGGTAAACAGTCTCTAATATGATGCATTAAAAGCTATAAAGGTAAAATAAAAAGAGATAGTCATAAGCAAAGATAATATAGTGAAGTTTTTATGATGGTATTTCATAATAGAAAGACACACTTTCTAAACTGGGGTTGACTAGCCGCTGAATACCACCAAGCCAGAAATAAGGGGATAGACACATTCAACCGATATTTACGAAGAACGCAGTGTGTTATGTAGACCCGAATTCGGGCTTCTTTGATGAATTTCATCTTTTATTGTAGCAGGTTTCTAAAGTGAAGTTTTGCTAATGTTTCTTAGCAGCATTAGCAATTCTATGGCATAGATTACCGGTGGTGAGTTACAGCCCCGGTGATAAATCTGAGGACAGTGATTTAACTATAATAATGCACTACTGAAGCATTTCGGAAGTTAATCAAGTTGAATTTGTTTTGTATGAAACTGTCTGTATAGGTAGTGAGCAACAACCCACCAATAATTCTGTAACGAAGGCTTCTTTTTATATTTTTTCACCAATCACCTTTCAACTCTATTTCAATTCAACTTATCAAGATATCTTTTCGAAATAACAAAAAAGACTATTTAAAAGTGCCCCCAGCGTGCATTGCTGACATAATATCGAACAAAGATATACAAATAGAGAACAATCAAGAACCTGAATAATTGCATAAAACAGATGATGTAAATATGATAAATTAACGACTTGAATAAAAAGCTGAAATCAATACTAGGGTCAAGTAAATTAAGGTCAAGCAGTAATATTTCTGAAATAAAACAAGATTTGATTATGTAACTGTTTGCTGTATGTAGAGCTTATATACATATAAGAAATACAGTACTAATCAGCTGAGCTACTCAACAGTAGAAAATGCTACTCGTGCTTAATACTAATTAAGTAACAATATACAAACGAAAGATAACCCATAGCAGACTGCTGTTTACAGTAACGGTACCAGAATGTTGTTAAATAATGTCCAGTAGAATCCGACGACTAGTTCAAGCTCTGACTCATTTGTATCTAAACACTCTAGCAACATACCGAATAGTGTTTAACCTGCTTTCTGTTTCTTTTAACTCTTAAATATCAATATTATTGGTGATTGGAGGGAAAATATCCTTTTGAGACTCCACATTTGTAAGTCATAGTATAACTTTCCCAAGAAAATACGTTACTCCTATGTGGTCGGTTCAGTGCTACCAATAGATGTAACGAGCATTCCGAAGCGATAACACGAGCACCTCTTATCTTTTGACATTATGAAGTAATATCGATGTATTTACGACTTGGATACTGTCTCCATGTGTAGGACGCACGAAGTACAAAATACAAAGGACAGTTTTGAAGTAGGACGAAATATTAAAATTTATCACCAGGTTTTAACGTCAGCCTAATTACTTAAGTTCTCTCTTCTTGAAACAAGAGAATTTTGCCAACTGCTGACACTGTAACTTTATAAGTTGATTTCGTAGTCTGTGTAAGAGTTTACAGTTATTTTCTTACCAATTAAATGGACATATACTACTAATTGATTGAGGTAAGTAGTTGCATACCACTCATATCAACCGACACCGCTTGCTGGCTAGCCAGATCAAGGTGATCTAAGCACTGGATGGTTGTTTCGCTCGTTTGAGGCCAAGCTCATCAGCAGTGTACCAGGTTTGACTCAGCTCAGAGAAACGAATCAATTCAAACCATCCGATTTCTAGATGGCTGGTCATACCATAAATCAAATTCACAATCTGCAAGTGGATTAACAATTTTTAACCTATGTAGTTCGAGTGGTGAGATTTCACCAAAGTTTCCTTCGGAAGTTAATTTATTCCAATCACAATAAATCTGATCTGCTTCATACCATAAATGACAATCAAGTAAGCACCAATGATGTCAAGCAGATCACATATAGTGATCGGAATAATTCGGTTTCCAAAGAAGAGACTGCCGCGAAAATTTCACCTCCCCCCCCCCCACTTCGAACTGTGTACATTGTAAGTTACCAAGTAATTTGCAAATTGTGAGCCATTATAAAAGTTAGCATGATTGGAAATTGTTCACTTATACATCAGTATTTTATAATTCCATCTACTTTCTGTTTACATTTATCGAAATTCACATAGATTACCCATAACTCAGATTCTATGAATGAGGGTAGAACAAGCTATCGACAGTGTGAAGAATGTATTTGTTTTCCAAACAGTGAAATTTCACCAATCGAACTGTGTAAATTGCTAACCAATCTTCAAATTGTGAATTTGATTTAATCGAATGATTACTACAGATTTCAGCTAATTTACAATCAAAACAATTTTTAAATTTTGTACTTAAACTTACCTATACAATACCCACATAACTCTGCACGAGACTGGCTCACACAGATCAGTTAACACAAAATCTACTTACGCTTGGCAGGCACAAGATCTATGTCAACTACTATTATTATTTCAATATAATACGACAATTGCCTAATGTAACTTTATCGGAAGATCTATGGTTAGCATGACAATTAAGAAAAAGTCGAGTGAGGGAAATTTAACTCGGTAACACCGCCCGTAAACTTTTAATAAACAAGTGTATAGTAAGCCAATAATCGTTGAATTAATAAACTGCTTAGGGATGGAATGTAGGACTGAGAATATATATATATATATATATGGCATAACATACTCTGTTCAGTGTCCTGGCCAAGAAAGGAGTTCCATTTCTGCTAGCAAGAGACGGATAACGTCGTTGAAGAAAAGTGGCTTCATCTTGTAATGCCTCGTCGATAGTTTTACCAGCTTTGATGTCAGCTTGAGAGCGATTGACAACACCGATTATACCAAGTTTGACTGGAACAACACGTCCTAATAAAAGATCGTGTGCATCTGTCCCGTGATCCATTAGATCTAACTTTGTCAGAATGCATAAAGTTCTACGACCTAGAGTAAATAGGTAAAGTAATTTATTTTAAAGCACTAGAATAATTACAGATGAAAACATTTCATCTAGATTACAATAATACAAGAGAAAAAATGGGGTTTGTAAATCCGTGTTTTCGGTTGAACTACTAGTCAGCTTAGCCAACGAGCCACTGAACGTATCCGATAGTGGTTTGGTAAAAAACACGTAGTAGCCACTCAGTGAACAAAACGAGAGCATTCAAGATGGTTCATCACACCCCACGGAATCTTCCCAACGATATCTGTATTCGTCTACTGCATATACTCGAGGCGATTGGTATTTCGATTGTTAAGCCTAAATTATACATTCAAATTAAGTTCATACAACCATTAACCCTTCCCTTGGTCACTGGAGATCTAAGGAACTGAGTATTATTACCAATATCCCATACAAAGCAACTCCTCCTTAGTGTTACTGAATCTTCATTATACCTTAATTTTATTTTCACTTCCCTTACAATCTAGCAATACTTAATCCGACCACTTTTTTAGCATTCATCTCCTACGTCAATCTGAACATTTTTTTATCTTTATCACATATTATTTTATTTAAGTGCACCATCTTATCATCCTACAAACAAATAACAGTGACTGGTTTATTTGAGAAATTACTTGTAAATTTATGTATATTAAAGTAAAGCCTAATGAGATCTAATTGAAAACAATATAGTTCACTTACGTGTATTCTGAAATGTATATATTTCTTTGAGTTTACACAAGAATATATTATTTTATTCCTTTTTACATTTTTTCATTCCTTTACGTTTTGAGTGGGACACAGGCCCTCAAGCTTCAACTTTGAAGTTTTAATAACAATGGTGTTTTTTACGAGGTGAGCCTAGTCTCGCACTCAACTTTCTCACTTTACCGGGCTTACTGTCGGTTGGGGGAGGCCTAGGAGTGTGTCAGTCGGAGATTGAACCCTGGTCCAAATATTCTACCACCGAACCACTGACACACATCCTATGCTTTATCCCCTAAGTATTGAAACAATTATAATCACGAATAAAAGTATTTCTTTGACCATGACTGCATAATATAAGGCTAGTTGTAAAGTGAACAATATAGCATAACGTTTTCACACGAATTTAGCTATTTACCCAAATAGCGACTTCGTATATAGCAAAGTTTTAGTGATACACTTGTAAAATAGTTTCACAGTCCAGATGATAAAATGCATTAATTTCACAGAAGCGTGTCTTAAGCGGCTTAATAGTAGAATATTCGCCGGCTGCATAGGTGGTAGTTGACAGCAAGCCTGAAGAAAGGGGGAAACCGGGTGTGAGGTCAGTAGCCAAACCCCATAAAAAAAGATTACAGTTACTGGAACTTCAAGGCTTGTAGCTTCAAGCTCTATGTTCCACTAGGAGAGCAAAGAATGAAAACAAAAATATGTCTCAAGTATAGAATTACAGACCTATTGTGATACCCTTTTCCCATGTACACCATCCTTCAACATTTTCATTTTGTTTTGTTTTACAGATTGCACTACACTACACGTTAAGTATACTACCAGAAAAATCTGTGTTTGGTAAGTTTATATTTACGATCGCAGGGAGAGTGATTGAGGATGAAAAGTAAGCATATTCATGATGACAGAACTTGAAGTGTCCACTGGGTTCATGTTTGTCCGTTTATTTATTTGATTAAGCTGAACTACCCGAGGAAGATTTTCCATGTATCAGGCTGAAAGCCACACTTATCATGCGGAGACCGGCAACACCGCCTAGCTTTCCAAGCTGAAGTAGGTGGTGCGGGACTCTAACTCGTGACCCATTGACTGAAAACCGAATGCTTACATCAACGAGTCACATCTCTACTGCATCTTCGTTTCATTTAAGGTTCAACCACTTAGTTTACTTCAATACTAACAGAAGATTCTTTAAAATCTAACCAATCGATCATTTGTCCTATTACTTAGACTTCATCAATGCAGAACTGATGTAATACAACTTGAAATTACCTCAAACGTAATAGTACTCGTATCTTACTAAGACGTTTTTCCAATGAGTGTTTTACATCAGTTACGCATATGATCTAAACTGCTAACCTATTAAATGAGTACCAACCAATAATATTACTCATCTGTGCAACAGACAACAATGGAAGCATCTCTCTCTTCTCGAAGTTAATTCGACCATAAAGAAAGGTTTTTTAGGCTTCACTTGCTAGACTGAAATTTGATTAATGAAGATAAATATTCGCTGTTGGACATGTTATTATCTTAGGTCAATTAATTAATTAATTAATACAATGAAAATCTCGTGACTGCATTGGTTTTTATTCCAAACTGACGAATTAATTCTTCTCGGTTGAGAGGTCACGTAATTAAAGCTAAGAGATTAGATACTTTGTGATAAGTGACACTTACCAGCTGAAAACTTTCAACAAAAAAGGAGATCGATGCATTTTCAGGGATTTAAACATGTATCCTACACTGCTCTGCTCAGTTCTTACTAATTGTAAGTCATTATCTGATGCATAAATACTGAATCCTTTGCAGTTGTATAATTGATTTCAAACTGACTGCGGTTTTAGCTTATCTCACTGATGAATTTAAATATATGAAATCAAAATTCATGCATATTGCTCTAATGACCAGATAGAAACCATATACATTAGAAAAAAGAGGCATATTAACAGTTATTTTGCTTACCATCAGGATCAACAGTTTTAGCTAGTTTAAGACCTTCGCTAGTAGCCATATCTGCATTGGCTGGTGTGACTGCTAAAATCACACTGTTTGGATTATTTATGTACGGAAGGCATAAATCATTAATTAGCGATTCAATATCCTCCGGCTGATCACCAACGGGAACTTTGGTAATACCTGGGAGATCGACCAATGTAAGGTTGAGAACACGTGGGCTAAATATCTTCAAGTTGATAGGTTCTGCACTGACAGACTGAAATTCAATGAGAAAGACGGAGTTAATTTCAAGTGGAATAGTTAAACTTGATAATTAAATTATAAAAATTCAATTTCGAGTAACAGTGAATCATAAAAGCAGATATCTACGTTTAGCTGAGTATTACTTATCAAAGACACTAATGACTACAAGTGGGGAAAAACTATTTTGAAACTAGCTGGTTGTTTACTACTTCGATCTTTCAGTTAAAACTAAAAGTAATCGCATTACGCTAAGAAATGTCTTACTTCCAATAATAATCTAACCTGACAAGTAATTTCTATTGTCCCCTTCTTACCTCAAGCCACTGTGAAACATGAGGACATGAAATTCTGAACACAAAGCCGTTTGTGTTCCATCAGAGAAGACATACAGCTATAACAACACCATTAGTGAAAAATGTACTTCGTATCCGTGATTTGTATTAATGGAGATAGCCAGACGGCACTTAACTTTACACTTCAACCAGCCTCTAAACCAATGTTTAAAAGATGATGGTGAAATTACCACAGGAAACATGATTTATAAGATAGTAGTGCATCATAGTATTCCCAGGGGATAATCAGTAACTTCAGAGACGATCTTTTTACTGCTATCGGATTAAGGAATTATAAAGAATCTTTTTTGAAATAGTTCACCCACTGTCTAACAGAATTCTGTTTCTGACAGTAGGGATTATAAAGTACAAATTCAACTCAATCGAATGTAAATGAAATACGTGTGGACTGTTGTGTGATCAGACTCAGGTAGGGATACCTTGGATTTAGCTATTATGGTTAAACCAACAAGACCAAATCGATTTCTCCTCCTACGTAGGAAGAAAAGTAGCCTTTTAAGGTATAGAATGTTAGAAAATTCAACTGTTCACACATCCTGATAGTGCTTACGACATCACTGTGTTAATACAAAGATTCAAGATTTCGTAGCAGAATACTAACTGTTAATTCAGAAAAATATATAAACTTTATGACTTAAAATAATGGGTATCGGGTATTTAGAAAACCGCTAAATATACATTCAGATAATTCATACTGAAACTATGGTAGGGAAGTGTATAATATCGACCTTTTGATGTGACCAGATAGTGTTTGCACCTTAGTACTTTCATAGACATTCATTAAAGTAAAACTTAGACTAGTATGATATTAACGTGTTACTAACGTTGAATGAAACATTTTTCCACTTTATACAAAGTACACAAATATTTACATGATAAGCAAACGGAAATTACCTTCCCAGACCCAGCAACTCGATCAGTTTCACTCTTAATTTCATTACGAACTTCATCGAAATCCCGAAATATTTTCTTATTATGTAGAAATGTGGCCCATTCAGTTGAAGTACCATCACCTTCAGCAACACGTGTAGCCTGGTCTGATTCATCTACATGAATAAGTTGTAAAACAAGTGGTCTGCGAGTCACAATTCCAGGTCCTCTCGGTAGAAAGTCTCGACCAACCAAGTTTTCGAGGACTGAACTCTTTCCTGAACTCTGAACGAAGAATAAAATAAGAAATATAATACGAAACGACTGATCGGTTTTTTAACGTGGGAGTGCACAGACAAGTGCAGCAGTTCAAGTGGCTACATTCTAAATCGCACACAAAAGTAGAGAAGTCAAAGAAACCATGATGGAATGAAATGTACGAGAGAAAAAACAAGTATACTGAAAATCGTAATAATTTAGTGAATCTGGAGGTTCATAAGGAGTGAATACAATTGCTCCAGTGAGAACGACTATGAAACATTCCAAGAACATTCTCAAGCCAATGGTTCTTAGCATTCCAGTGATCCCAACCAAACGGTATACACTTCCTATGTGTCTCGCTCAAACCAACACTCACTGACTTAATGAATGGATGCTAATTTTTGATTAGACTACCCCTAATCGTTTTCGAACCTAATCATAAGTTAGCTAGCAATGCACAACGAGGAAGGTGATGGGTTGGCGTGCGTAACACATACCGTAGCCATATTGGCCGATGTAGCTTCATAATCTGATCGACTGACTTACCCTCCTTACCTAACACTACATCTAATCTCAATATTACGCACCAAATTTTACCAATTAACAGGGGAGATAGAGCGCAAACAGATGTCAAAGACAACTAGCTTTTCCAAGTCTTCCACTTTCAGTGAGCAGTGGACTGTTGCAAAGTACACGTCCTTTGTTCTGACTGGATATCACGTCTAGACTAGAAACGGAGTTAGAAAATAACACACGAGCTTTCTGTATCTATGCTTGTATTCTGTCAGTGATCAGTCCACTAGAACTGATGCAAATTCCCGAAAAAAAGAAGAGATCAACATTTCCAATCTCTATGTTTGCACTGTGAGTCAATACAGACCAGCCCTGCAGCGCCATCTTACACTTGGCAAAGGAGAATCGCATGCTAAATATGCTGAGATTCTTGCTTAAGGTGACTAGATTGTCAGTATCTTCACCTAAAAGAAAAATATCGTCCGAATCCTTTGAACAAACAATACTTTTCTGGTAATAGTCAATCCCTAAGTCGCTAAAGTCGATTAGGATCACATCCATTAATAAATCTATGATGAGATTAAATAAAAGTGGAGACATTGGGCAGCTTCGATGCGCACCATCAGTTGTTGTTACCTGAAATGAAAACTCCCTATAAGCTCTTACGTGGCTGTGTTAGTTTCAGTAGAATGCCTTGATTAGTACGATTACCTTCTCTGCACTCCTTTCATTGCTATAATACTTTTTCATCAACACACTTAAATACCACCTACAGGTCAAAAAATATAGTAAGTGTTGGATGCCGGTATTCCTATGTTGCAGAATCTGTCGGGGAGTGAAGACATGACAAATATACCCACAGAAGAACTTAAGGCTTACCTGGGGTTTTCCGGGTTTGTTTCTCTCCAGCGCCGTTTAGTCTGTGCGTAATTATTGATATGTTAATTATCATGATCGCTCTGTTGTCATCACGGGAATACTAATCTACCTTCTTAAAAAATGGGATAATCAATGATTTACACCATTCTAACGGGACTATGTCAAACTGCTACTTCACCTAATATCTCAGCTAAGCTATTCTTAACGACTTCTATAGTCATTCCATCAAGTCCCGCTGCTTCGCTTCTAATTGGAAAAAGCTTTCACAACCTCAGTTACAGTTAAAGGACCGATGTCTACGCCCCACACAGGTAGGAGTTTGATACTGAGCAAACTGCGTGTGGCTGTAGGCCAGTTAGATTTTTCCTCGGTGTTCCCTCCAACGTCTGTCTTCTATCCTGTGGTTATTTAAGCGCCATTCCCTAAAATTGTTTCGCTTAGCAGTGGTCTGTAACAGGCCGCTTCCATGAGTTTAAATAGTTATCTGGTGTTACTTACCACTGAAACGCCTTCCATTCCAGTCAGTTTTGTTGCCCACAACTGTTTATGGCTGTTTGAGACTTTAGTCAGCTTGCATTTAAGCAGCTTTTGCTCCTCTTCATAGGGCATTACTTAATCACAGAGTTGACAGAGTGTAGCCTCATTGATTCAGATGGCTAGGACATATGTTCAGCACGCCAAGTTGCCACTCTTCTTGATAAGCGACGTTAACTGGCATGAACCCGGTACCAACTACCTCAACCAATGCAGCTTTACGCCATCGATTCGCAATGCGGAATCAGAGTAGCCATACCACGTTTCAAATACGGGAGCAAACATTTCATATTGGGTGGAAGGTTGGGGGATAAATTGATCGAGGAAAATTATGAGCTCGCATAAATGCGAAGGGGATTGTCCAGATTTGTATATATCTAGTGGTAATATCTCCACTTACATGTAAACGATGTGGGTGACCTAGTAATACTATTCCCTAACCTATGAAGCGAGTCTGGTGTTGATTCAGCCTGCTTACTTCATTGCTTTGGAATGGGCCAATTACAATGATATTGAAGTTCAAAAACCCCGATCAAATACAATGAGTCCAGAAGTACAATTCTCGCAACTATTTTTGTTTTGAGTATAGCTTGACTCCACACCGCATTTTTGGTACAAGTGTGGAACTTGCAGCATGTGATATCTGTAGCCCAAATTTTGCAGGCCAACCATTGATATCAGGTGTGCATCAGCAGGGGATCGAACCCCAGGCCATGTGCATGGTTGGCGAGAGTCCTAACCGCTGTGCCACCAACGCACTAATTGCATTCCAGAGGAATTTTCTGCCTTAGCAAACTGTTTCAGTCCCTGATGCTATTTTTAACCAAAGAAACATTAGTTCTCCAATGTACACCAAATCGAAAGATTCAACATAAGCGTAGTCTATCATCTTTAATAATCTGTAAGATGTACAGAAAGTGAGATATGACCTGATGAAAAAAATTATGTTGTTAACAACGTAAATTTAGCCGAATTCTATACTTTTACAACATAGACAACAAATGGCAGGCATAAAAGTTGATTCTCTGCGAAATGAAACATGCCCAATGTAAAATGATCCCGTCACCCACAAGAAGCATAAGGAGAATTATGTCAAACTCACCTGAGTTCCCAGAACAACAATTTGTGGTAGTTGGATTGTTTCAGTTCCCACTGTGTTGAAAACATCTTGCAATTTGTTTATGACCGGGATTAAGGATTCCATGAACGCACGAAAAACGCGAACGCGTAGCGTAGAGAAATCAAGACGAGCGCACCTATTGAACAGATTCAGATTATAGGGATAGAAGGCTTTTGTTGCCTATGTTAATCCTTGCGATATATATCTCTGCAGAGATCCAGTTTCTCTTTGAAAGCGTTCACCGATGGAGCTGTTACTACTGAATCAAGTAAGAAGTTCCAGTCGTTGACCACTCTGTGAGAGAATCTTAACTCCAAACGTATTTTATTCGACCTCTGTTTGAGCACCTTCTTCTGGTGACCCCGTAAATGTATCCTAGAGGGAGCGAAAAGGTTTGAAAGGTCAATCCCGAAATCACCGTTGAATATACGGTAAGCCAAAATTAAGTCGCCTCTCCTCCTTCGGTATGATAATGGGAAGATATTTAAATGCTCCATCCTCATGTCATAAGGAAGGTGTGAGATACCACTAACTAATTTTGTTCCTACCCTCTGTACTCTTTCCAGGGTATGTGCCTCCTTTTTGAAGCATGGACTCGCCGCTTGTATGCAGTACTCCAGATGAGGCCTGACATATGTTGGATAGGCTACTTGGAACATGCCCTCGTCTAATCGTTTGACAGCTCTTCGAAGTGCCCATAGCATTCGAAAAGCCTTAGCTGCGGCTCGATTACAGTTTACCGTTGTTTTTAAGTCATGGCTTACAATAATTCCTAAGTCCTTTTGTTCCCTAACATCTGGCAGTTCTGTGTCCCCATGGAGTACGACGTGTAAGACTTCAGACCTAGGTGCATAACCGCGCTTTTCTTGGAATTAATTTCCAGACTCCGAAGGTTAGCCCATTCGGCTAATTTGTCTAGATCGTTTTGTAGTACCAACCTATCATCGCTACTATTTACGGTTTTCCATATCTTAATATCGTCCACAAATAATAAGGAAGATGAGGTAAGAATTTTCAGCACTTCATTTACGTATAATAGGAATAGCAGGGGGCCAAGTACGTTCCCTGAGGTACTCCACTTAGTACTCCTTTCCACCCTGACAGTACACTATTAACCCTTACCTTCTTCCTCCTATACATCAGGTAGTCACTAAACCACTCACATAAGCGTTGGTCTAATCCAAAATGTTTAAGTTTACTAAGAAGACCCAAATGGGATACCTTATCGAATGCTTCACTAAGATCGATAAATATAACGTCCAGTAGATGGCCTTTATCCCTGGCCTCGACCCAATCTTCCCTAGCTAGCAGTAAGTTTGTCAAGCAGGATCGTTCTGGTCGGAGTCCATGCTGTTCAACTGTCAGTAAGCCATGTTTCTCCGTATGAGCTAAGAGCGGATCCCTTATGAGTTTTTCTAACACCTTTGCTATATTGCAGACCAGACTTACAGGCCGGTAGTTAGATACTAACTGCCTGTTCCCATCTTTGAACATGGGGCTTATAAAAGCATCTTTTCAGTCCCTCGGTAGACTAGCCTGGGTCAGAAACATCTGAAAAATCTCCGTAAGTGGAATGTATATTATATCCGCCAGGGAGATTAGCAATCTAGGGTGAAGACCGTCTGGTCCAGGTGATTTACCTGGCTTCAACTTAGACAGTAGTTTCAGAACCACTGCATCATCTACCACAATTGGGGGCATTTTAGGGGCTACATCAATTACCTCGCTACACCCCTGGGTGGTACGATTAGGCGAAAAACATCACAGAAGTATTCGGAGAGCTCCTCAGCTTTTGTTTCGTCTGATTCTGCAGCCTCTCCGATGTTGCTAATGAGGGACGGTATGCCACTGTTAGTTTTAGTCCTACGTTTTATATATGAGAATAGCCTTTTTGGATAGTGTACACAATCCAGTACTAACTGTCTCTCCAACTCTATACAACTTTTGTCAATCTCATACTTGCAAAGGTTTCGAACTTTGCGGTATTCTACCCGAAACTCATCCCTCCCAGTCACAGCAAACCGGCCCCACAAGTTCTTTCGTTTTCTTAGTAACCTCCTTATTTCATTACTAATCCAAGGTGGTTTATGAGATAATTTTCGAGGCGTAGACCAAGGTACAAAGGGTGAAGTGACGCACTCAAGTGTGTTCCTAAATCCCATCCAAGCCTCCTCGACAGTCTGGTTTGTATTAACAGACCAGTCAGCTAGGGTTGCTGCATTTCGGATCGCAGGTATATTCGCTTTCCAAACGTTTGGGCGAGCGACTGTTGACCTATGTATGACGGCCTGGATCCTGAACATAAACTAAAGGTGGTGTCAGGAGTGGAATACGAACCCACGCCCACAGAGTGGACTGCGAGGTCAAACACAGAGGATCTGGAAGGTTTTCTGTAAAGCACAGTGTTTTCCACTTTGGATACACAGATTTAGTGGTGTGTAGGGTTAATAACACGTAGGAATACCTGAGGACACATAACACAGTTTCTCAGTAAGCCTCCAGCATAAATTCCAATCTTCTTAGTGGGTTGCAATGCTGATTTGTGAGATGCTGAATTTCCAAGAAACCCGGAGAGCTGTTCGTCATGAACAAAGAGAAATCAGTGAACTTGTAAACGTATACAGAGTAATAAGTCTTTTCGAATGGTGGTAGATACTTCATGTCTTGAAGACAGCGGTAATCTCAGAGTTAAAAATTCCAGATAAGCAGTTCTCCTAATTTCCGTGGTCGAATAAACTTCAAGGATTTTTATAGCGGAACCCAGCAGCATGTACCAGTTTAAGTGAATACTAAAAGACTCTCCAGTGACCCTACCTATAAGAACTATTTTCATTTCCGTCTGGTGTGACAAAACCTGCCGATGCCTTAGTGCTTTTGGTTGGTAGAAGACCAGGGCAATACGATCAAAAGTATTGATGTATACAATATTTACTTATTTTGCATACTTTTTCAGTGTATTTATATCAAACACCTATGTAATTAACTTGGTTATATTGGTTTGTTGTTGGTTGAGCAATAAAACATCGGCGTTCTGTCATGTTGTCATTATCAGTCCCACCGAAGTTTAGTTGGTTATTAAATGTCTAGTTGCATAACTCTGTTATTTCATTATTACTATCGAAAACTAATTACTGACTGAACAAATTTCGGTCGCTGGCCACAGAGACATTTCCAGAATTCTATCAGCCGAAGTCGCTTAATCGTCGATGACGACACCTTGAAGTGACCCAAATACAACCTTCACTGCCCGTGGTATCTTAGATGGGAACAACCCTCTAAAGAGTCCCTCCCCGACCTGACGCTGACCAATAAATTCTTCTTCCATTCGTGAAAGCAAAAGTTCGGTGGAACGATCGCTTAGCTCAACATTGAGGAAGAGCGCAGCAATATATTGACGATCTGAAAGATCGTTTCTCTTGAAGACAGCTGCTGTAATCATCTCGAAGTGGTTGCTTAACTTTAGGCTGAACATTTGTGCAGTAGCGCATACAACTAATTCGCTCGGTACATTGTGTACAACTGCAAGGAACTGTGAACATCAATCAGTAATTCCATGTTCACAGGAGTCAATCTTGGCTAACGGAAACCATGTTTCTGCATGATCTGTCCCGAATGGAACGAGATCTGAGTCCTGGATTCCCCTGCTAGTCACCATCCACCAATAACTTCAATTTTAAGGTGACTGTTAAAATCATCAGTATACATACAATAGGTTGGCTACTGCCGATGTTATTGTTAAACTGAGATGAAGAATTATTTAGGTAGGGATTAAGCAGGAACAATTAAGTTTAACAGTTCGGTGCACATGACAATGAGCTAATTTGTCTCAGAGTCTTCATCCACATAAGTTCACTAAAACAATGAATATGAATATCCAATATCGACTCTCTATGAAACTTTAGCTCGATGATTTTGGGTAATTATTCGCCTCTGCCGTATGAACCTTCATGTGGTGATGTGGATTAGTTTAAATACTCTTGGCGTTTATATTCCTGAAATGGAAAAAATTTTTTACCCATCTGTATGAAATTTTGCAGTTGTAATAAAAAGTGAATATAATTCACAAGGAATACAGAAACAAAAAACAACAAATATATAATAACGTCATTTCCTGGTTTGCAGGGATTTTACTAATTTTAACAACGAAATGACTTCAGCTAAAGGACGAATGAAGGTAAGTGAGTATTACTTGACCGTTTCGTCCTAGTCCTGGGATCTTCATCAGTTTATGATGATGAGCCACTCAGAGATAGAATCTAGAATCTTCTGGTTATGAGACAAGCTTGTTGATCATTCACTCACTCAGGCGGAACTCAGTGGGGCATGAATTTTAGATTCTTCTCATTTGCGATATATAACTCAGCCTCCATACAGTGCAATGGGAGTGCATTTAACCTCATATGAAACTTGGTGGCCCCCACTATTCATGACTTCCCACCGTAGATTCGAGTAGCTTCATCCTGTAGTCACTCACTAATAATACAGGGTCAGCAAAACTTTGGAGCAGCTATGAGCAGATAGGACGCGTTTAGAGAAAACTAAACAAGTGGTTTTATAACTAAAGATGAAAAGGTATCAGTGAAATGAAGAAACAAAAACTCAAGATATAAACAGGACTGGATCTTGAGAGCATGGGGATATTGACGTTCAAGGATAGTACGAAGTATACCAACGCAAGATCTAATACCCACAACTTCTATAGTATTCGTTCTGCGTAGACCAAAGCCAAAGCAAAACACAATCGTCCAAGTTATGCGACACATTTCGAGACTAAATCGGAGTGCGAGATGACTGCTTAACCAGCTAGGGATCGTGCACGAACAAATGAACGTGACACGATGGAGTACTAAATGGCGTGGACACTTGACCGGAAGCCTTCAGCTAAACAAGTTGACTTAAACAGTGAGGGTCAGCATCCAATGTTCAGTGATGAATGCTGTGGCCAATAATCCTGGGGAATTATTTACCTTTCCAGATTTATGGAAGATGTAGTAATTGAACTAGTTTCTGTTGAACACATAGCTCCGGTTCCTGGAGGCACATATGAAGATTTCTGTGTTCCAAATAAGTCGAAAATATACTGTCTTTTGGTAAACTGCTGTTTACTTTGTAAATTATTCTGAATGGCAAGTCTGTTGTAACTTT